ATTTGAATTCAATGTTGTTGTTTTTTTGAAAATTGGGTGTAAAGTACAGTACTGAAGTCCCTGAAGTTTCCAAGGGTCAGATTGCAATCATTAGATGGCTGGAGTAAATGGATTAGGGATTGATTCGGTTTGGGTATTGAGAGAAAGAGTGGGAAATTGGGAGATTTATAGTGATTTGTTAGAAGGGAATGTTGGCTATAATAACCTGGAGTAATTAGCAGGGCAGGTGACTAGAAATGTGATTTAAGATGGTGAATGGAACTAGAGTATTGGGGTATAATTGCAAATTCTGGATTTTGTTTTTACTCTGACTGCTTTTTATATATTTCATTGCCTTTCAGCCAGGATGTTTTTGTATACTTTGAAACACAAAGGACAGTTGGATAATTCATGGGTCAAATTAATTGGAACTGTTGCCTGTTATTAGTCAAGGTTAAGTTGGGTTACATACAGTTCACCAACAAGCAGAAATATCTTGTGAGAGTATCTGTCCTGACATAGGTGGAGTGAGTCTAAGTGATCCTGTTGATTTTGGCATGTGGCTGACGGAACTATTCCCAATCTTTTTATAGCCAAGTGGCTGTTTAGGGACATTGAGCCATTGATAGTGGCAGTTGGTGGCCCCTATTACAGGTTAGAGAATCAACCTGGATTAGAGGCTTCATTGTGGGCTTCTCCCTTATGTTTGTTTTTATAATCTTTGCTACACCACCATAGATTAAGTAGGGGAACATGTCTAATTTCAGGGATATTAGATGACTTGTACAGTATTTTATCTTTGAGTCCAATGTGGTTTCTGTGTGGTGACATTATTACCCGTGCCTCTTTAGATTTTATTATAACTTGCATTTTTATATATAATTATATTACAGCTTCTGTTCTGGCTTTCTGCATCTATTATGGTCATTTTCTGGTTATTCCTTGACTTACCTGGGTTATGTTGATGGTGGTGGTGGTGGTGGTGGTGGGGTTGGGATTGTTGATAATATTCTGGGTTTAAAGTTGATCCCAGAACTCGTTTGTCTAAGAGCGGGAGTAGGGGGGAAGGATTCAGACTTTTTCTGAGATCCAGGGCTTGATTATCAGTAGATGGCATAGTCAAGGATTAGTAAATATGGTAGGAATAAATAAATCTGACCTACAGTAGATGACTACTTTGAAACAAGTGCTTCTGAGAAGGAGTACATTTAGCATTGAAATTGGGGAAGCACTTTCCTAGAAGTGTTGGGGGGAGTCTGGAACAAACTGTACAATTGTGGAATTCTGGAATATGATTCAACAAGAACTAGATGTACAGACACTAAATGTATTGAATAGCAGCATTGATTTATTGTAGCAGCATCTCTTGGGTGAATACTGCATTTCAGCGGTGAATGAAGAGGATCCCACTCCTATGTTTACAACTCTTTAGGATGAAAAAGGCTATATGAATGCAGGGAGTTAAAAGCTTCTAGCACCCAAATAACCAAGATGGAATGGCTGATTGGTTTCTTCTCTTGGAACATTTCGTTACAATACAAACACTACAGTATTAAATGATGTAGCAAGTATTTATCCTTTGCTCTTTTAGTGTTTCATTTGTGTTTACTTCTATACCCTGCTAAAAACTTAGAACATTTAAGCAAAAAAAACGTATCGTAAAAATGCAACCTATTATATAAAGTCAGTAAACATGCATAATTAAGCTTATGCTCAGAACTAATAACCGCTTTACACAGGTATTCAAAAAAGATGTTAGTTTCTAGAAACCCGTTTAAAACTAACAAACGCCAATTATTTTGAGAAATAATCCTCTGAAATGTGGTATGAAAAAACGTAGGGACGTTCTTATATTTTGAGAAAATTGCTTTCAATGACCGTGTGATTTTGAGAAAACCAAGACATAAGCAATAAACACTCAAAGAGCACATTAATAACGCTGGTACAATAAAGTACACCACCTACTGCAACACTGCCTGATGTCTTCAGACACTGTAGGGATTAAGCTCCGCCTCGCACTCAAATGCAGGAGCGCGACACGTGATCCCCCTTGCCAAAATCCAGTATGGCGGAATCTGTCAGTGAGTGACTCCTTCGCTGGCGCACTCTCCAACGGGAATTAAATACATTACTTTTTTCAGACTGGAGTGACCGCCTCCTGGGGCAGGTAGGTGAGCATTGATTCAAAGTAGCGTTCTCCTCTTCAAGTGCCTCTGCTCACAGCAAGCACTGAGTGACAAGTTTGTATTAAAAAAAGCAAAACAATGTGTGCCTGTGGGTAGGTATGCAGTATCTTAACTGTGTTTTGTACCGTATTTAAGTTGGTCGCACTCACGTTCAACATTTTTTTTTTCTGAATCGCTACCGTTCTACCGAACATGAATGTTTGGGAGAATGGGTGGTATTTTAACGGTCGTTAATGAACATCGACCAATCTGTGTCAGGTAAGAGCCTCAGATAGTGGAAGATGGACAGAGACGCCGGCCTATAGGCGTCATGTTTGGGCGGTCTGGCGATTCATTCGCGTAATTGGCCGTCCGTCTGGCCTATGACAATACGAGTTGTGTTCCTGGTGGATCGAGAGGGCGTAGCTGCTCAGATTTAATGATTGACACAGACCTTTGCCAATCAATGCTCGCAACCAAAAGGGGGGAAATCTGTAATAACCAGTCATATTAAGGATGATTTGAGTGGGCGGTTTTGAAAGTGTGCATCGGTATTTTTTTGTGAATGAGGGTAGGTTGTTTTTAATCTGCTGTCCCTCCCAGATTGTAAGGATCAGGGTACAATAATATTTTTGTGCGTCTGTACAGCAACCAGGTAGTTACAATTTGGTGCACATACAGTATAATAACCTCCTTGATGTGTATCATTGTTGCTTTAAGACGTTGTCTTATGGAGAAAAAAAAAGGCGTTTTAAGGTCTATTAATCATTTGGAAAGTGTCCTTATTTTCAATACGATTATTAAATTGAAATCTTATTATGTATACAGTACAGTTTTTTCGAATTCTTCACTTTACATTGAGAATACAAGGCGTTTATCAACCGTAAAGTAAGGGGAGTTTTTACATGGAATTTGGGCTGTTTTCAGTGTACTGCTGGCTGTACTGAAATGATCACGCACCGCCAGACTGTAGTCTTAACAAAAGCGTTACAGTGATGTGCACCAACGGAAAAGTATGATTTCATGAATTCCTTCATGTTTGTGGTATGCATTAAGAAATGGCAGGTACCTTTTCGTGTAACGGTAACCCATGCGAAGGACAATGTTGGCTGTACACAGCAACTGTGGAAATCTGTAGAAAGATTCTGTAACTATGCGCATCGTAGGACGTGCCAAAACTTACAATAAGGTAGCCAGCAGCATGTTGCTGTCTCTCGGCTCTAGAATCACGTTACTGAGCACGGATCGCAGACTACAGTTTACGAATGAATGAAAGTTTGATTGATACTCGTGGGCTAAGAACACTTCAGTTCTTTGTATTCAGCCCTCTTAATTTTTTATTTGGGCGATTTGCTTTGAGATGCGCAGTACATTGGTAAATAAAGTGTATTTATACGTGGCCCATGGGGATGACCCGTAACTTTATTTCGTCAATGTTGAAATGACAAGTATATGTTAAATATTTCTCTCCCGACATTTCTGAAAAGTAAGGAGCAAATAAGATTTACTGCCCTTCTCATTACACAGGAGCTGCAACAGTACAGCAAAAAGTCCCGTTTTCATCGACCGTCTGCAGAATGACTGTAACATCTTGAGGACAGTGTTTTGTGGTGTGGGTGTTTGATTCGGTGTTGGCCCAGAGAAAAAAAAAACAAATATTGAGGAAATCCTAACTTTTACATATCGAGTCCTGGTCCTGGAGGGCCATTGTGTCTGCGTTTTTTCTAGGTGTCTTTATTGCAGTCCCATGTCAAAAACTGAGAAAAGCCCGCTCTGTTGAACCAAGATTAAATGTGACTGTTCTTGGGAAAATAGGCTTCTACAAATTACTGCTGTAAATTTATTTTAATCACAGTTGTTTTTTTTAAATAAACAATTACTCCACTTCGTTTAAAATGTGGTTTGAATTAACCATCGCCTTCCTGTCCTTTTTTCTGAAAAAGATAGCTCCAACACTGAAAGTCACTTCTTTTAAGTAGAGTTCACCATGTTCAAATAAATTATGCTGTCAGAGCACTGAAAGTGTGTTAATCGATTTGCACAGTTATCTCGGCAGGTCTTTCAACGAATGGCATGCCAACACAAAACTTTTATTTATAAAAGTCACAAGCTTGTTCTCACAGATTGGATATGCTGTTCCGATTGGATGTCGTAAAGCTGGTTTTGAAGTATATAAAAAACAGCCTCATGAAAGCTCGTTTTCTTTGTGCGTTGACATCCAAAGACAACCAAGAACAGGTGAGAAAAGCAACGGTATAGTCAGTGGAGAATGTCGCACCGTATAGGAGAATTGAGCTGTTAAATGTTTTATTGTGTGATACTGTGGCAAAGATCTCAGCTGTATAATGACTGGCTATGGATTTAACGCCAGCCTTGTTTGGAGTCCAGAGTACTTGTTACTCATGAATTCCAGGCACCACACAAATGTTTTATATCCCTTACACAGCTTGGCACAAGGGTATGACTTTAAATAATGACTTCATTTTGGGAATAGGACTATAGTAAGTGATTTACTTTTTATAGTTTAGGATAACAATTGAAACCTATTTGAGGATATTGCGGATCAATTTTACGTTCAGGCAGATAATGAACATTTACTGCTGTTTAATAATAGACTCTAATGTCTGCTGTAGTGTGTCTCACATCCTATCAGAAGTTTGGGCTTATGCCAGTCTAGCACAGTAAACATTGGGGTGGGGTGGGGGGTACGGGGACATTTAAAACAAAATTAGCTAAAAAAAAACAAGACACTGGAGAATAACAGCCTTTTGGTTTTAGAATGTGATCTGTATGGTTAGAAAAACCAGGGGGGATTCTAGTTTGGCCTTTTGCTGTCTCTCTCTTTTTTTTAATGAATTAGTATACATGTAACTCAATTAAAAGCTGGTACCATATTGAACAATTCCTAAAGCATTTTTACACAGACTTTGTGTATTTTGTTTGCAAAGCTTAATATGTGTTAATATTTTTAGATGTTCTTATGGACTAATTCTGATTGGATTAATCTTTAATAAAACTAAGAAAGTTTTTAAGAAAATGCAGGCAGTAAGCGTACTTTACTGTAGCAGATATGGTCTGTTTAGACCTAATGACCAATTAGGTTTGCCCAATCAGCCAGTTTCAGAAACTTTATTTTTTTTAAAATTAGGCTCAGACGGCCAGGTTTTTTGTTAGAGAGGGTCTTGTTTTGTTCTGAACTCTTCAGAGAAAGCCTGTGAAGCTTTTATTTATAATAAAAACAAATTAACCCAGTGATGCATAGTTTATTTTTGTAGGACTACTTCAGACTGCTTTGTGCTGAGTCAGGACTTATCAAAATTCATATTATTTTGGCAACTTCAGATAGCGGTTTAAAAGAGCAGTTGTTTATAATGTTTTGTAATGATCACTGATCTGCCATGAGTAACACTATGGCTTGTGGGCTCAGGGACAAGGTCAAAGGATTCTGCACGTAGAAACAAGGTTTCAGAGTAACACAATTCAGGCTGTTTGTGTATACTGTACAGTAAATATTAGTATTATGACCTAAACTTTTTTACATTGAATTGGCAATATGTTAAGAGATGTTGCTGTAACTGCATACTTTAATTGAACTGCTGTTCTGACAGGTTTAAACTTTCCACATAAATTCAAAGCCTTTATAGAGTAGACACTGTGCAGTGCTGAAATGCTTATTTCCTCTATGTTTTTGCTGAAAATAGCTTTTTTTGCCAAAGAAAGGGAATGTTTGAGACATTCAAATTTTTTTTTGATTTCATGAACATTTTAAACTGAAGTGTGTAGAACGGTGCCACAAAATTGTTTACAGGATTTAGTTTTTGTGGATATAATGTTTTTCGCTTAAAAGTAAATAATGCAGATTTAGAGTTATTAGTGGGCAGTATAAACTTTTTGGCCATTGTGCCTCTTGGAACTTTTTTAAAAATCATAATCCCATACCCCAATGCTAAGTTTAATTTTTATCTGTTTGCTCATAATGTCTTCATTGTAAACACTGAATGTATAGTAAGTGTAAAAATGAAAAACTCTGAATTTAAGTGTAAATGTTTTTAGTATAACATGTTTTTTTTCCTATCTTTACATGGCATACTGGAGTAATGCATTCATTCCTAATTAAAAAAACAACAATTACAAAACTTTTCAAATCCTGACTTAAGGTACTATGGTGTAGTGCCTTAATTAGCTGACGTTTGTTGGTTTAAACAAAATAGTTTATTTTAAGTGCAACTACAAACATCAGGTGAAGGTTGAAAGCTAAAAATACATGATCGGATGTGTTTCTTTGTAAATATTTAGGAACCTGCTAAGACCTTGTTTGGTAATGCATTACTGTGAGAATATGTCTCAATAATGTAGACATAAGTGGCATAAACATGAATCCTGTTCAATTTTAATAATGCAACGTTTGATATTTAGGTGTACTTAACATCTGTTTTAAATTATAGAAAAGGGGGCAAAATAAATGTGTGTCTTTTGGATCAGTATGGGGATTTTCTACAATCGTAATGATGAACACAAAGGTTGGGGTGGTTTGGATAGTGGAGTTAAATATAAATAGTGGTTAACTTTATCTCGGCTCTTAGTGTTGAAAGCCTTAAGTGATGCAAACGCAATGTTCTGCAATACAATTTTCCACATTAGCAAAGCAAAAAATGATGTTGCAGACAAAACCTTGCCAGACCCTTATAATACGTTTACACAATTGTTTTTATTATTAAAGCCTGACACTGGTACTGTGACTCAAGCTTGCTAATGTAACACATGTTCTCTAACCCTTGAGAGCAGCGCAATTAAAATCACGTGACACAGATTTTCTGTTTTGGTGTCCTGTTTCTGAGAATGTTGAATGTTTGATGTCTCATCCAGAAAAATAACCAATATCTTAACAACAGATGTAAGTATATTAGTTAAGGGGAAAAACAGACATGACAGATAGTAGTTAAATTGATTGTGCTGATCAACATACATGGATCAACATGGGTTCTGCTGTGAAAGTGATTAGGCTA